CTGAGCGACGGTGAAGGGGAGAGGCGCTGACGTACAGCTTTCTGCAGCTTCACTGACAAACACACTAGCATATCTGGGAGTAAGAGTACAGCAAACCAGAGGGGTCAAAAGTACACACATCCTTTACTCAAGTAGAAGTTCAGATACTCGTGTTTAAAAATACTCTGGTGAAAGTAGAAGTACTGACTAAACTTCTTTACTCAAGTAAAAGTAAAGAGGCTTTGAAATGTACTTCAGTAAAAAGTACCCATAACTAGCAGCTGTTTTAAAGAGTACCTGACCTCCCTTTATATTAATAGAACAATAATGTCATTGTTAGCTAATGAATGTTTCCATGGTGAACAACGGCAACATGACAACGTTTTCATTGGTCCCTCTTCTTTAGAGAAGACCAGGAAATGATGGATACACGGATCGTGTTCAAATCAATAGGCACGCAATGACTGTAAATAATAATGATCACGCCACCAAACACACATTCAGACTAAAGGAACCAGCCTGTTTGGAAAATGAGAGAAGTAGAAAGTACAGGTATTTGAGTTCAACATGTAAGAAGTAGAAAGTACAGGTATTTGTGTTCAACATGTAAGAAGTAGAAAGTACAGGTATTTGAGTTCAACATGTAAGAAGTAGAAAGTACAGGNTAAAAACTTTTAGGGGGGTAACCCCGTAACGTAGGTTTTAGGTACCGTAAAAGGTAAAAGTTAACGGTTTACTAACGTTAATTTACCCTTAACCTAATTACGGTTTTTCTTAACCCCGTAATTACGGGTTAAGTAGGTTTTTTAAAAGGTAAAGGTAAGGTAACGGTACCTTTTTACGGGTTACCTAAAAAAACGTTAACGTTACGGGGTTACCCGTAAAAACTTTTTAAAACCCCTTAAAACCTTTAAAAAAAAACTTAACCCCTTAAAAAAACCTTTACCTTTAAACCCCTAAAACCCTTTACGGTTACCCCGTTTTTTCCCTTTTTTTTTTTAAACGGGGTTTAACGTTTAAAAACCCCTTTTTAACCCGTAAAACGGTTAAGGGGTACCGTTTTTTTTTTCGTTTCGTCCGGTTACCCCCCCCTACTTACGTCTTCTAATATTACCCTACCTAAAAACATTCTTATTTGTTATTTTATTTTTATTTTTATTTATTTTGCATTGTGTTTGATGTTGAGGTAATCCAAAAGTCTTTATATTTTGATACTCAGATTAGGTTACTGATTAGATTTTTAAATGAACCACCCTAACCCTGGGTAGGACAGGTATAACATATAATAAACATTTGTTTGGATTTAGAGCATAATGTTTTTTTATTGTATTTAATCACAGGTCTTCTATTGTGAACGTTTTCAGGGCTGATAATGTTTTTTGTTTTTTTATTAACTTAAACACATGTCTCCGTCAGTTTGCCCTGCAGGTTTTTATGGTCTGTCCTGTGCTGAGGAGTGTGCGTGTGAAGACCCGTGTGCATGTGACCCGCAGACAGGAAGCTGCAACAGCACGTCCAACAGAGGTACTAATAGCAGAGGTACTAATACCACGTTTTATGATAGAAATGTATAGTAGGGTCCCAAGCACATAGAAACTGCAGGATGCTAACTTGCATATGTTGTGTTTATTAGCATACAGTCCATGCAGACAATAGTTAAAAAATGGATTGGCCGATTTTGGATCTTGAATGCATTTCTGAAGTTTTCAGGATCAGAAATGACAGTTTTAAGCAGAAAGTGGTCATATATGTACTCTGTGTGACTCTCTTTGACTACCATGAGTAGTGTTGGACATTGGATATAGAGAACACAAGATGAACATTATTATCTCTGCTGTGGACACTTTGCTTTCAATTAAATAACTGGTGCCTTGCTCAAGGGAACCACGGCAGGGCCCAGGAGGTGAACTGGGACTTCTCCAAGTAGCAGTCCACAATCCATATTTTAAGTCTGTTCGGGGACTTGAACCAGCGACCCTACGGCTCCCAGACCAAGCCCCTACTGACTGAGCCACTGCCGGATGATCCTGAGTCCCCTATATCTTCCAAAATTAATCAAAATCAGCCCAAAGACAGAACAGAAATGGCCACTTTCTGGTTAAACTGCCATGTTAGATCCGGAAAATGCCAGAAATTGACTAAACATCCTCAATAACCCCCAAAACCACTCCAGAATTGTCCAAATCGGCCAATTGATATACAAGATCAGCGCCACAGTATCATCTCATACTATATCCAGCTAGAACAAACCCTGTTAGGTACTTGACTTATATCTCTGATGTTTAAAAAATGGTTTCAGTGCAATCTATTCTACTGTTGTCCCATGTTTTCTATTTGTTCTTTTATTTTGTCCATGTCTCCCGTTGGCTGTTGCTTCTGACCTACAGTGCCTCTCTGTGTATCTCACCTTGATATTACTCTCACTAGTGCCGTTCTTATTCCTCCACAGCGGTTCAGTGTTTGGGGAGGAGGCGACAGAAGGAGGCGTACAGACATGAACCCTATCTAACGGAGTGAGTGTCCTTCTGTCCTTTCTTAGGGGAAACATTTGAGGAAGACTTTTCTTTCAGATTTTGCAATTCTCATGTTATTTTTTGGGGAGATGTTGTCGTTTGGAGGCAGATGATTTTTGGGACACGCTTTAGATGACATATTTGGTTTTTGAGATATTTTTGATTTGGAGGAAAGTGGGTGAGAGATTTTGACATTACGATGTCGATTTTTTCTTTTGTAGATTTATTTTTAATTTGTTTGGAAAATTTGAGATTGTATTTAGATCTGGTTATTTGGTTGGAGATTTATTTTAGATTTTATAGTTTGGGTTCAGAAGTTTTTTGTAGATTTGATGTTTTTCTTTGGATTCTGTACTTCGGATGGAGATTTATTTAAATTGTTGGTCATTTGAATGTAGATTTTCTTTACATTGTGATCTTTGGTCTTTAGGTTTGTAAAACAGCTAAAGTAGTGTGCAGCCGTTACACCGTTCCTAATCCCGTCCACATGCTGTTAAGAGTACTTTGTAAAGCTCCCTCTCTGTGCAGACAAACATGGCTGATCATCACGCTGACGCTGGCCTCTCTGCTGCTGATCCGACTGCTGGTTCACTTCCTGCGGGCGACTCGCAAATGGCTTCTCTTCGGTTTTTCCTACACACAAGTTCCTCTGAGCGACGTGAAGGGAGAGGCGCTGACGTACAGCTTTCTGCAGCTTCACTGACAAACACACTAGCATATCTGGGAGAAAAGCCCAGCAAACCAGAGGGGTCAAAAGTACACACATCCTTTACTCAAGTAGAAGTTCAGATACTCGTGTTTAAAAATACTCTGGTGAAAGTAGAAGTACTGACTAAACTTCTTTCCTCAAGTCAAAGTAAACTTTGAAATGTACTTCAGTAAAAAGTACCCATAACTAGCAGCTGTTTTAAAGAGTACCTGACCTCCCTTTATATTAATAGAACAATAATGTCATTGTTAGCTAATGAATGTTTCCATGGTGACCAACGGCAACATGACAACGTTTTCATTGGTCCCTCTTCTTTAGAGAAGACCAGGAAATGATGGATACACGGATCGTGTTCAAATCAATAGGCACGCAATGACTCTAAATAATAATGATCACGCCACCAAACACACATTCAGACTAAAGGAACCAGCCTGTTTGGAAAATGAGAGAAGTAGAAAGTACAGGTATTTGAGTTCAACATGTAAGAAGTAGAAAGTACAGGTATTTGGGTTCAACATGTAAGAAGTAGAAAGTACAGGTATTTGAGTTCAACATGTAAGAAGTAGAAAGTACAGGTATTTGAGTTCAACATGTAAGAAGTAGAAAGTACAGGTATTTGTGTTCAACATGTAAGAAGTAGAAAGTACAGGTATTTCGCACGGTGGTTGAAAAACAAAAGTGTGCCTTTGCAAACGCCGCGTCGACTCCAGATCATAGGGGAAATTCCCTTAGAATTTCACCGGTGCCTAGTGACTGAAAATCGTGTAAACCGTTTAGAGTGTGAAGAATGTAATGTCTTGTAACGCGACAACAAACCTGAAAAAGAAATCTAATTATAGAAACCGAAACTGCTACCAGCCTAAACAAATAAGGAGACCTTAATAGTTCGTTGTTAATGTCACAAGTGATACCACAATTATAAGACTCCAAGTGTCATTAGGTTGTTTCCGCCGTCCAATCATGTCACACCGTTATAGAAATCTAACTAAGTTAATTACTTCCTAGTCCGGTTACGTGCCAGTCTGAACAGATTAGTTCGACGTAAATTTGTCGCAATGCTCTCCCATTGAGTCTCTTATATACAAAAAGCGTTCAAATTGATTGGCATGGCTTGTCGCTTTCATTCTGAACTAGATACAAATGCTTCGGATTTTGTTCGACGCCAAGATAATTACGTTTATAATCTCGAATTTTATTTTCGCTACGTACGGAGATCTATCGGAAATTTTACATGAAAAAGAACATATCCCATTCGAGATTGTTGTCGTTAGTCCTAACCCATTGTCCATATTTTCGATACTATGACTGAATTATAGGTAGAGTCCTTTATTAACGGTGTTATTCTGGTTCATTGCGGGCACATGTAGGTACTGGACGACCACTTCCTTCACTTTCGCAAAATCTGTTCTTTTCTTTTATCTTTTCAATCTTTGCATCACTGTGCAACTGTCACGCTCATGTACAAACGTTATCATACAAATAATCCCACACAGACACTCTCTTCTGTGCGTTGCTGTTGTGTTCCTAGACCCATCCCATCTCACTTTTGGGTTGTCTTCATGAAAGCAAGACTAGTAATGGACAACAATTTTATAATATTACTCATCTAAGACATAAAACACCTTTACTAACACGTCCTAAATGCAGAGTGAATATAAGAAAAGAATATGCTAAGGATTGATAGTCACAAGAGAAACCTTTCCTCTTATTTTTGACTCTTATATAAAGAAAAAAGTGTATGGAAAACGAGCCTCAAAGCTCGCAAGACTTTAGCAGCCACACTAAACCCTTCAACCAGAAAGTAGTTGGTACAGAACGCACAATAAACATCCCCCCCCCCGCGCGAGAGAGACGTAACTCACGAAAACAACTTCTCCAATAGTAATGTTTATCTTTTTCTTTGCGTACCCCGATGCAATTCTGGGGGTAAATCGTGTTTGAGTGCTACTCTGAGACTGACGATCACTACCTCGCCGAGACAGATTACGACCTTTACGAGACAGATTCAACGACCAGTTCTTATGTGCTTCACTTTCTTCCTTGTCACAGATTCTCATATCAATTGAAGAGGAGACTCGATTTACGTCCTTTCTCTTCCTGTCACTCCGACGGCATCCTCAAGTTATAGTCCCAGAGCGACCTCGGAATCGTCTGTTGGGCCCAAATGGTGCCAAAATGTGTTTTCGGTCTCAAACCGACTTGTGTATCCTTGCGTTAGTCCGCGCCGCCACAGTCTCTCTCGAAGTACTGTAGAAGAGACACTCCTAATAAAGAACTAAATAAACAAGTGGCTCCACTCGGGACCGACATATATAGTATACACACAAGCATCCCAGATTCCACACCAGCCTGAGCGTCTCGAGGTTACGAAACACCAAAGTCAGACTAAATTCAGTCTCCTCTCTTTCCCCGAATTCACCGAACTCGGCGACTATCGAGTCGAGCACAAATTCTCAACGTCCTGATATCTCCTGTTCAAATCGGGCATATTACTCAGTCCCAATTACTTATGGCGCGGGACATCAGTCGAATCGGAAGTCTTCCGAACATCCCTCAGATACAACAAATTCAGAGATCCGACTAACGCAGGTCGAGAGTCGTCCAGCGTCGGGACTCGTCCATGTCCAGGCGGACGTCTCCTGCAAGTGGCGTGTCACGCATTGCCTCAGTCAGGGCCGTCCGTTCTTGCGGACAGAGACAACTCCCGGGTCGTCCCCACACACACACACACCGCAACTATCTACACTATACACTCACACACATTACCTCCGCTTAGTCTTTCACACACACAACTAACAACACAGTCCTCCACACACACACACACCCCCACCCCCCCACCACAACCACCACACACACACATGCACCCAACAAACCAACAACAACACACACTAGGGTTCTGTACTTCTCTGTTCCACTCCTTATCGCTTTACAACGAAACTTGTTTCACAACATTGCACTTCCTCACAACAACTCAACTCTCCCGACACAACATCTATCTAACTCTCCCGCGCCAACCGACCCCTACATCACCAACCCATACACTTTTTTTATCACACGCTCCCACCGCACTAGCTGAGAGCTGGCTTTCTCAGCTTCTTCCAAGACCCAACGCTCTCTCACATCACTTTCTTCTCCACTTTTTCATTTTACGACCTCTTTTCAAGTTTTGTTTTTCAGCTTTAGACCTTTTCTTCATTCTTAAAACTTTTTTTTCATTCATAAAGACTTTTTTAATTTCAGCTATTTTCGCTATTTGTTTTATTTTCACTCTAAAACTTTTTTTTCATTTATTGTGACCTTTTTTTTAACTACACTTTCATTCGTCTTAAGACTCTTTTTTTACTCAACTATTATTTTTTAACTTTACAGTTTTACTTCTTTGTCACTCTCCCAGGGCGTTCACTGTTTTCTAATTTTAAGTCCTTTTTCATCTTTTTCTAACGTTTTTACGTAAAATTGTGCAATCTACATTGTGACGCACCAGTGGCGACCGAGAACGACCTTCCGACGTCCCAACATGCAACTCTTCACGTCGCGAAAACCTTCCTCAAAGAGCAAGGATCTTTTGTCTCTGAAGGACACAACGACGTCTGCAACTTTCTGTAGTAGGAGAGGTAACAACCTCCGACTGTGGGTTATGTGCCAATGTGAGTCTCCACCTTCATCAAAAAAAACTCATGTTATGAAGCAATAAAATATGTAAAAAGACCATAGCATGACAATGAGGTGCTGAACAAAAGACTGTTGAAAAATGAAAACTGAAGAATGTAAAACTCTGAGTTTATGGTACATAAAGATGCAGGAATGTACAACTTGAGTTTATGGACAATGAAAGATGAGAGCAATGCTCACAACTGGTGTTATGGACATGAAAGATGAAGAATGTACAACTTGTCGTTTATGGACATGAATAGATCGAACGAATGTACA